GCCTCCCAAGTAGCTGGGACCACAGGCGCCCGCCACAACAGCCGGTTATTTTTTTGTTTGCAGTCTTCATTGTTGTTTGGTGGGCTTGGGCTGGATTCGAACCCACCACCTTAAGTGTATATGGCTGGCGCCTTAGCCACTTGAGCCACAGGTGCCGAGCCGACAATTTCAAAGTGTCTTAAAAATAGAAACTGAAGGCTCAGAGTCTGTAGTGCAAGTGGCTAGGGCACCAGCCATATACATTGGAGCTGGTGGGTTGGAATCCAGCCCCCGCCTGCCAAACAACAAAGACAACCACAACCAAAAAATAGCCAGGCATTCTGGTGAGTTCCTGTAGTACCAGCTACTTGGGAGGCTGTGGCAAGAGAATTGCTTAAGCCCAAGAGTTAGAAGTTGCTGTGAGCTGTGATGCTACAGCACTCTACCCAGGGCTACAGCTTGAGGCTGTCTTAAAAAAACAAAAAACAAAACCGACAGGAGAAAGACAATACATACAATTGGCAAGGACTACAGTAAATACATGAGCAGGCATCTGCTTCTCAAATAACCTAGATTAGTTGGGCTTACGGCCTGTTCCACAAGACTATTACTCTTTTTTCCTTTTTTTTTTTAGAGATGGGATCTCACTCAAGTCACCCACACTAGAGTGTAGTGGATATTCATAGATGAGATCACAGCTCACTGCAGCCTCAAACTTCTGGGCTCAAGTGATCCTCCTGTCTTACCCTCCTTAGTAGCCAGGATTACAAGCACGAGTTACCATAATACTATTCTTAGGGTTAAAATATCTTTCCCTGAACATCTTTTTCTTTTTCCCCAGCCTATCCTTAATAGCCTGAAATTTAGTATATTTTCCTGAATTTTGTGATTATCTACCTCCCTGGCCCCCAGTCTTGGCTAACTTGACTTTTCAAACATTATCCTGCAGCTTATGGACATGTTTTTTGGGGACAGGGTCTTGTATCTACTTTCGATTGAAAGGGCAGATTTTAAAATCAACCCCCTTTTCTCTCTGAATGTACAACTGTGCATCTTGTTAACATAAGGAACATTAGTAATTTGGATGTATTAGTAAAAACATTAATAACAAGCAGTTCTGCCCAATAAGAAGAAATAACTGGCAAAAGTAAGATGTAGATATAGCTTAATTGGGGGGCAGGGAAGGATTCCAGAACATAAGAATGAGTTATTAAAGAATAGGAGCTGAGAAAAGAGGATAAAGTCAACAGAATGCTCTATCTTCCTTAAGGAGACTTTAATGAGTAAAGAAATAAGTAATTTGTTTTAATCTAAGTACCTTCCAATTTAACAGATATATTCAAGCACAGTCAATATACAATAAAGGATCTGTGAAAAAGGAAATAAAAGGTTTAATAACAGAATGAAAAAAACTGACCAGCAGAAAACAGATCAAGTGTAACAATTTGATATAAATTGTTTTCCTGAAAGAGCTTCTAATTAGTCTCAAAAAGGAATATGCTGCTCATCAGACATCCTTAACTGAAAATGACCTGGATTGATCTCATCCATAAATACTGATGTCAAACTCTCATAAATATTAACAAGTAAGAAATACTCTCC